TTATTATAGTCTGGAGTAGTGTTGGCACTGGAAGCCACTAGAAGACCACTGGAAGGCCACTAGAAGTAAAATTAAATAGTGCCACTAGAGCTTTTACTATTACAAATTCTCACTAGAAGATCAGAAATTCCCACTGGAAGCCAAAATTGCCAACACTGGTCTGGAGTACTCCACAAACATATGGAACAATAATCGGACAACTACAGGACAACTACAGGAATTTTTGCCTGCTTTATAATTTATATAGACAATTATGAGACAACTGCAGAATAGTTATAGAATAGCTATAGAATTTTTATATAATTTATTATTGAATTCATAGCACATGTAGTTTTATTGCTTGTTAACCAATGTATATTTTTATTGGCATAATTATAATAAAAAAATATTTCTAGTATTCAATTTATTGATTGAAAATATTTTACTCAGCAAGCTCCAAGTTGACCAAACCTCAACTGCTTTATAAATTCAGGTGTGTCTTATTTGTTTGTAAATGCAAATAATTCGATATGCATCCATGCTATATTCGTATGTATTTGATACGTAATTATTCTGAAAATGCGCATGTTTTCTTAAGATATAAAAAATACAAGTATGAACATATTATACTATAATTCGGTTGAGATAATATATTCTATTGAAATCAAAATGGCATCGAGAATCATAATCTTTGCTATAAATTATATGCATTCTGCACATGTCGCAAAAATACATCACTATGCAAAATATCGAAATACAGAAGATTATTATGGTACGGGTGAGCAGATTAGTGTAGAACAGGCCGAAATTAAAATTCATACCATACTGATCAGCTATAATCCCCCTAATGCTAATATATATAATACTGAATCAATATGGTACAGATTTTAAAATTCGGCCTGTGCTATACTGATCTGCAAAATGCCTGAAACATTTGAGCTCGAAACTATACCAAAAGCTGAAACCTAAAACTTGTCCTAAACTTGCTCAAAAAGATAAATTGTTAATAACTTGGTATTTGCGAAACAAATATAGTTGATGAAAACAATACTTTATTAATTTCTGTTTGTAATTGATACAAAAGTAATTGTATTGAAACAATAAAGTATCTTCTTTAATTGATACAAAAGTAGTTGAATTGATATGAAAAAGTATTGTCTTTTTTTACAAATATCATTAAAAATGTTTCTTCTGTGAAATTTTATTAATGAAAGTGTCTTGAAAACATTTCATCTTGGTAAAAACTATTTACTTGTAACAAAAATCTAAGACACAATTAGCCAATATATATAAAAGTGACATAAAATTCAAAAAAAAAAATATATTTCTCAAGGCATCAGTGCTTAAAAAATCAAAAAATTTAATAACATTTTCAATTTGTCATAATAAAATACAATCCAAATCACTTAATTAAAATATTATACTTACTTTCCATTCTGAATTAGTTTCTTATATAGATACTGAATTTGCTTTTCATACAAATTCTGAATTTGTTTCTCATACAGATTTTGAACACACTTCTTATATGGATTCTGAAGGTGATGCTTCTGAAGAAAATGATGAAGAAAATATTTTTCTTGTTAATTAAGTTGCCCTCGAAAGTGCTCATATACTTTTAAATGATGATGAAAATGAGGATGCTATTGATTTGGATGAAATTGAATTCGAAGATTCTGACCTTTATAGTGAATCTCTGGATGATGAAATGGATGTGGAAATTCAAGTAATTTCCACGCCAAATTCTAACTTAACACCATGTGTAATTATTGATATCGATAAAATTGATGTTAAAATAAAGTGTTGTAACAGTATAGTAGATCTATGCTGATTATAACAAATGATAAGAACATGGGAGATAGATGCCAATGTAGCTAAAACTTTTAAAAATAATATTTACCAACTTGGAGTATGCTATTCTCACTTCCAATTTGATCAAAATCAACTTCATGAAAAAGGCATAAAACAATTGTATTCAATTGAACAAAGTAATTTTTATTTTCAGTTTTGCCTTTTCTGTAATAAAACAAAATGTTTTTTTAGCCATGGTAATAGCTGTCCAGCATATTCGTGGAGTGTCAACGAGTATAATATTCAAGTACCTTGTATTGGTGTTTTTAAATGCTCTGCATTTATTGAAAGACCTATTGTAAAAAAATTTTCTTTAAGTCACTGTGCACAATATATTTGCTTAGCGTGTTTTCAACAACATGGTGGGCACTTGTACAAAAGACCAGGTAAACCCAAAAAACCAGTGTTGTGTACTGAAAGCAGAGAGCACCATGATGATATAAGTAATGCTTTAAAACTTATTGAAAAATGGGTAATAGTGGTGGTGAAGTTAGGGGATCATAAACTGCAAGAAAGTCTTCTGTCTCTAATATCACAATTATTATCTATTTTTAACAATAAATCAAAAGGCAAAGATTTATCAGAACAAGATACAAAGAATGAAAATTCATCAGAACAAGACAAAAATTCGTCAAAACAAGATACGAAAGACAAAAACCAAAATACGAAAAAACTTCCAAGCATGATACTTGTTAGAATAGTACTAAAAATGGGTAAAGTTGAATTGAATATGTTAGCTGAAAAAAGATATCGTATAACTCAGAAAAAGGCCTTGTCAATAGGAGAAAAATTAGAGAGAGAAGTTCTATATATACATTCTAAAATTAAGAAAAACATTAAACAGTTAGAAGATCCAAGTTCATATGAAGACTACTACAATATGCTACCTAATATTCTTTGTAGCTTCTTCTAAGCTCTTCTTACGGTAATACAACAACATAGACAAATGGTTGTTAATACTAAAAGACATCAATGTGAACTTCTATAAAGATCATTTAGTACAGATCAAATATCTAAAACTACTGCTTTAATAACTTCAATGTTACTTACTATGGCTTTTCCTGGAGTTAAAATCTAGCTTTCGCATATCATATCATTGTTATATCAAAAACCGAAATTACTACCATATCTATGAGAAATTCTTCGTTCATCATATGTCGTATTGTATACTAAACATCATAAAAATCATCTTGAAAAGTCAAGAATGGATCAAGCAAACCCTAGAAAATTTTTGATTAAAGGACCGAACATTTGGAATCTGGCAGTAATCGACAATATTGATTTTAAAGCCTCGATATTCTCATACAGAAATATTTTTGAAGTTGTATAACAAACTTCACATATAACGTTACAAATAGTATTTCAATTCACTCTTTCTACCTCATTGAATCGTTTAATAGGAGAACATGAACTTATTAATCAACCATTGTTCGGAAAGTCTTCAACTACTGATGGTCTTTTGTTAATATATGAAAATACTTTTAATAAAATGTTAGAAACTCATATTAATGAATTTGATATGAAAGATATGCACTTGGAAATCACAAAACAGATACCCATGAAATCTAATATTTCGCCTCCAAATGTTGGAATATTAGAACCTGGTAAACAACCTAATTGCGATGATAATGTTTATGCAGCGTGTAAAATGTATCGTGATGATTTATCGCTTACCGTATATTTCTGAAAATAAGCTACATCCGAAAGAAGCTACTACCTTATTTTAGATCTAAAATCTATAAAATTTCTAATTCTGAAAATAAGCTACCTTTCTTTTTAACCAAAACTAATAGTAAAATTTTTAATTCCGAAAATAAGCTACTATTCAAATA